AGAACAATCCTAGGGGATGAGAGCATAAAATTCCGACCTTACTTTTTCACACGCGTTTTTGGACCACGCTAATGTACACATGTACGTACAATATTTATATTGTATAAGTATATGTTTTATAAAAGTATTATCTTAAGGAGTAATAAATTTACTATATCTATGTGCATACATATTAATATATTTGTGTTAATTCTCTTCAGGTAGGATAATATTTCGTCTCTGTTGAATTCGTAACGCGCGCTGACATTTTTGGACTTTCTTAAAATGCTGTAGCAGATCTTCAAATTTAATGTTGCTTTTATACTGCAGGGAATTTCTTTCCTCGCTATAAATAATTATAATTAACTTTAATTAATTTAAAAAAAAACGTAATAAAAACTTGCAAACCCACATCGGCGTTTGACCCCAATAATTTGGTACACATTGCAAACGATTCTTTAATAAGTTGAAAGCATCTGTCTGAGGCAAAAGCATAAGAATTCCAAATAGCGCGTGTGCTAAGTGCTGCGCATCTGCACAGTTATTTGCTTTCGATACTAAAGTTAGGCGTAAGGCTATTGAAATGCAAATATGTGAAATTACTATTGGTACATAAACATAGCAAATATTCCATGTCATTCCTTACGCGCAAAAATCGGTGATTCAATAAGTTGGACCAGTTTGTCTAATTCGTTCAGTAGTTCCAAAGTAATCTCTACATCACCACTGAAAATATAAGATGCCCAATTTTGAACATTAAAAAATTTCATTGAATAACATTAAAAGAAATGCAATTTGTTTTATGTATAATAATTATTGTTAGTTACGGCTTTTTGCATTTCAGGTGGCGATATGTAATATGCACGTATCGATGGTCCTCTGCAATAACGACAAAATTCAAAAAGTAAAAACTCTTACCACTGTTAGGTGGCTGACGTCTCTATTCCTTGGGGGACTACTGGTATCGCTTATACGAAAGAGCCATGCGATGCGATACGCATAGCATTCCTCTTTCGTATCACATTACAGAGTAGCCCCCTGGTCTAATCCTTAAGTACTTTCTGTAGTAATTACTACCTATTTTATTAAATTTTTTTTATTTTTATTAAAAACAATGTAAGGATCAAGTATGGATTAGAAAAGGATTGGATACATGAGTCACTTAACAGTAGTAGGGGATTTTATTTTTTGAATTTTCAGTTGTGTCGTTATTGCAGAGCATGATAAAAAAATAGGAAGGTAGAACCGCTGAGGAATTTTTCGAATCCTTGACGTTTGCAAACAATTTAATTTTAAAATTTTACAAACAAACAAACACACATTCTCATTTTCAATCTCAAACAACAACAACTTTGAACAATTC